TCTCCCCTCCTCTTCAACCCTCTCCCTGGTTCCCATACTCTCGATTTACTCAGGAGATCTTGTCTTTTTCTACTTCCCATGTAGATTAGATATATGTGTGTCTCTCTTAGGATCCTTTTAGTTGTCTAGGTTCTCTGGGATTGTGATTTGTAGGTTGGTTTTCTTTGCTTTATGTTTTAAAACCACTTATGAGTGAGTACATATGATAATTGTCTTTCTGGGTCTGGTTACCTCACTCAATATATTTTCTAGCTCCATCCATTTGCCTGCAAATTTCAAGATGTTGTTATTTTTTCTGCTGTGTCGTACTCCACTGTGTAAATGTGCCATATTTTCCTTATCCATTATTTGGTCGAGGGGCTTTTAGGTTGTTTCCAGGTTCTAGCTATGACAAACAATGCTGCTGTGAACATAGTTGAGCATATGTCCTTGTGGTACAATTGAGCATCTTTTGGATATATACCCAAAAGTGATATTGCTGGGTTTAGATGTCCATTTCTGAAATCATGGTTATTTGAAAGGTTTCCATTGGGTGGCTATGAAAAATGAAGTCATTATGAACATTCATACGTAAACTCTTTGTAGACACATGTTTTCTTTTCTAGTAGGTAAACATCCAGGAGTAGAATTTCTGGGTGAGAGGGCAGGAATGGATTTAACTTAGAAAAAGTCCTGGATATTTTTCTTTTTCTTTTATTTTTTCTTTTTTTAAAGATTTGTTTATTAAGCATACAATGTACTGCTGGCAAGGAAGGCACTAGGTCTTGATGGAGATATGAATAATTTGCATTGGTATGGATTTGACTTTACTGATATAAATTTAAGGTCAATCTTGTTATATGTATATGTATTTCTGGTATTGATTAAGGTATTGTGATTGTGTAGTTCATGTAAAAATGTAATGTATATAGGTTGTTAATAGATAATCATTAATAATAATCAAACTTGTAGTCATGTTAATTAGATTTTCTAGATGTGCATAGATATATTTTAGATAGACATTCTTCATATCTTTCAAAGACTACAGAATATGACATTTAATGTTTTAATAACTTAGGACTTTTCATGACAATGAGACACGTCTGCTCCTGGCAGCACCAATCTACTTCAAAAGGAAGATGGGCATCGAAGAGGCTCCTTATCGAGTTTGATAGCCAATTGGGCAAGAAACTGCTCTTGCCTGGACTATTGCATAAACTGGACACAGAGAACCCTCAGAGAGAGGACTGCTGAACTTGCCTAAAGGTGAGATGATCTTTCGGGGTTCCTGATTCATGAAAGAGTCTGCGAGACATTCTGCAGGACACAGCAGGTAGTGACTGAACTGCCTTTGAAATTTCCTGCTTCATGGAAATGTCTCTGGATACTATGGGCCTGTAGGCCGAAGATGGATGCCCCAGCTGCACAGAGGAACTTTGGGTGACTGTCCAGGCAGCGAGATGTCTCTGTGATTTCTAGAGTTTTGTAAGTTGCTTACTTCTCATTTACTTAGGTAATATTATATACTTCTGGAGTCTTTGATGGAGTTGAAAAATAGATAGATAGTTATAGTTGTTTTTCTTTGTTATGATAAAAGATAAAATAGATATAAATATTGTAACTGTAATTCTTACTTGATAACTGTTTTGTTATATGTAATTTTGCTATGTTAAAGTTAAAGCCTTCTTTTTTTTGTTTAAACAGAAAAAGGGGAAATGATGTGGGAGTGTCATATATCAACCTGTTGATTTCATTGGTTAATTAATAAAGAAACTCCTTGGCCTGATAGGTTAGAACATAGGTGGGTGGAGTAAACAGAACAGGATGCTGGGTAGAAGGAAGTGAGGTCAGACGCCATGCCTCTCCTCTCCAGGGCAGACGCAATGAAGCAAGCCGCCTGGTCAGACATGCTGAATCTTTTCCGGTAAGAGTGGTGCTACACAGATTACTAAATATGGGTTAGGCAAGATGTGAGAATTAGCCATTAAGAGGCTAGAACTAATGGGCCAAGCAGTGTTTAAAAGAATACAGTTTCCGTGTAATTATTTTGGGGCATAAGCTAGCCAGGTGGCAGGAACACAGCCCACAGCTCCTTCAACAAGGTCTCATTACATTACAGATGGTTGTGAGCCACCATGTGGTTGCTGGGAATCGAACTCAGGACCTCTGGAAGAGCAGATAGTGCCCTTAGCCTCTGAGCCATCTCTCCAGTCCCCCTGGATATTTTTCTTAAAGATATATATTTTGGCCGCGCGGTGGTGGCACAGACCTTTAATCCTAGCACTTGAGAGGCAGAAGCAGGTGAAGTAAACAGGCAGCCTGGTCTACAAAGTAAGTTCCAGGACTGTCAGGACTGTTACACAGAGAAACCCTGACTCGAAAAACCAATATATAAATATATATTTATATATTATATTTTATAAATATAAGCTTATATATTTATATTTATATAGCCTTCAGCATCAAGAATTCTGAACTAGCCTAACATCCCTAAGCATGTACAGTACATAGTATTAAACGAATCATAGAACCACTGGCCTAAATTATAGTATGGTAGTAGAGAGGAAGTCATTTTGGTTTGGTTTTCTTTTCTACCACAAAAACATATAAATGCAAATAATTTCTCCTTTTTTTTTTCCTGGTTAGCTGCAAAGCAGCATTCTCTGACTATTTCCCCTGCACCATACCCGCCAGCCACATGCCGGGTCTCCTTTGAGGCGCTCTGGTGAAATGCAAGTTCAAGCTCTGGGAGCTTCTAGAAGCTTGGAATCACTAAGACAAGGAAACAGGCAGTTGTTAGGGTGGAAAAAAACATCGAAGGGAGTAGCAGACAAGGGGCGTGGCCTTGTGTACACTGGTGGGGTTTCTTCGATGCCTTTCCATCGGTTCCTTACTATTCTACCTAGGAAGAAAAAAAAAGTCTCAGCTGTCCTCAGGCTGCTGTGACTGTTCACTATGAGATGGTCGCTTCTGAGCATCGGACACAGTGACAGTCAGAATGGCTGCACCCCACAAGAGCAGAGGCTCCTACTTTATAGTTTATAGGCAGAGAAACCGACAGCATAGGAATGGGAAGGGAGACACTTAATGGATCAGGGGCTGGCTGAGCGGGAACCAGAACCCAGGTGGCCTGGCTTCCAGCCCAGCTGACCACACTGCTACCCACACACAGGCAGAGCTGGCCAAAGACAAGCAGCCCATTGAGCAGTCGCACAAACAACAATGACTGATGGGCAGTCAGGGTAAGAAACAAAGCAACAGCAACCCCACCACTTCCTGATGCCTCAATTTTCAGGCAGGCCTACAGTGTGTGGTCACTTGCTCGACGCTGACCAGCAACTTGGCTCAGCTTTTGAATCAGGACCCCTTTTTGTGGTCCCTGCCAAAAGAAAAAGTCTGCTCAAGGTGGAGAGAACCTTTGGGCTCCAGACCTGGTCCCAGAGAGTCGGTGAGAGTGATGAGCAGAACAGACATCGTTGAGATGAGCGCCAGTGGGTCCTGGATTCCTTGGTGAAAACAGCCTTCAGTTTTGCACAGTTCTGCCTTCCCGCCTCAGACCTAGCTGTCAAGGTCTGGTAGGATCTACGGAATTCAATTAGAATCAACAGAAGTGACCAGATCTCATCCTGTTCTTTTCAAATTTGTCACTAAGTTGTAGCCACAGTCTGCAGTCCCTGAATCTTTGAAGCTCTGGCCCTAACATCTCTTCTTGTTGAGTTGTAAGTTCTGGTATGTTCCATGCAAGGCACCTTGCTCTGCTTGGCTGAGGTACATACGCATGGCTCTAGGTCCAGCCCTAAACCTTCAACTCTAAACTTAAGGGGATCTCTCAAGAGACAGAGCTGTCCAGCAGGTTTCATGTTTCAGGTGTCAGTTTGCTCGTCTGGAGGACTCCGTGCTCCATCCCTCCCTCCCCTTTAGAAACCAAAAGCCCCAGAGGGGGGTGAGGAAAATGAAAAGCTGACTGTAGGGTGGTGTACTGTCACATAAGCCCAAAGAACATAATTTTGACAATAAACCCTGCTTTGAATATGTACACTGGGCACCACGATGTTAAGTGTCTGAACTTAAATCTAGGATTCTTTAGGTTAGCGTGTAGCAGAGGCTGGCCCCATTTTGTGTTTGCAATCAATTGGTTCTTGTGGAAGCAGTCCATATTCTTTTACAGATACTGAAGGTTGAGACGGCTCGTCTATGCCCTCTCTGGGCACAGCTCACTGTAACCTACATGGCACATGTTTGTCTTGCCTCGCCTAAAAGTACGTTAATGCATTTTATTAATACTAAATTGTAAGACCGTTGATGCTTGGAATTGGTGTTCTTTGACTTTTCTATTTCCAGTATTACGGAGTGCAAGTGCCTTTACATAGTAGGGCTTCAATAAATTCTGGCGTCTAATTATGCTGTAACGTTGTAAAAACACATTAACCATCAAAAGTACTACATAACTTTTACCGACAGCGCTAGGTCTGCGGCCAAGGTGTCATTAGGGAGTCATTGTTATGCAAGTAAATACTGTACAGCAAAGGGTACGGCCAAGTGAAGGAACAAGGGGAACGCATAACTGGGCGGGACTGGTTTGTAAGAAGCGCTGTTTATTTTCCTCTGGTCGGTCCAGAAGGACTGCTTGGAGTAACTAGAATTTCAGCCCTCTTCTCAAATATTTTCATCCTTCTCACCTTTCGAGAACTACTCCTCCCGTTTCTATTTCTTCCCAAAGGGCCGGCGCCAACTGAGACGACCCCAAAGTCCTAAGAGTCCTCGCCGGGCTCCCAGCTCCCGGCTCAAAACTGCTTCAGCCTGGGGGCTCGGGCACGCGAGCCAAGAACGCGCGGGGTCACGCGCCGGGCAAGCGCCAAACTGGCCGCGGCCCCAGAACGGCCCTGAGGGCGGGGCTGCTGCGGGGCGGGGCGGGGCGGGACGGGGCGGGGCCGGCCGCGCCGGGCGGGAGGAGGCCCGGGGGCGGCTAGGGTGTCACCGCCAACCCGCTCCGGCCGGAAACGGGCTCTTGTTTCCGGCCGGACGGTCGAGACCCACCGATCCTGAACCAGCCGCTGGAGTCGGAGTGGCGACCCGGTGTGGAGCCGGCGGAAAGCCACTGGGGAGAGGCCAGTCTCGGCCAGTTCCCGGCTTGGCTCCGGCTCCAGTTCCTGTGGAGAGCAACAGTCGCGGTCGCAGTGTCCGCCTCCGCCTCCATCGTCGTCGGGGGAGGGGCCGCTCGGACCCCGGGGTCACTGCCGAGGAATGAGGAGAGGCGGCCGGGCCCCGCGCTCCGCCCCGGCCTAGAGCCTTGCCCTGAGAGTCGCGAGGGTAACGGAGCCCCCAGCCCTGACAACCCTCCCCGTCCTCCCCCGCCCCTCCCGCCTCTCCAGCGTCCCAAACTCTGCGCCTCGGAGCTCCACTGCTCCCTCTTTCTGACCAGACTTTACCTGAAGCCATCTCCCTTGAGCACCCGCTCCTCGCCTCGCCGTTCCCTGCTTGGTCCCCACCTTCCCTCTTCACGCCAGTCTTTTCACCTGCGTCCCGCGCTCCCAGCTCTGCCCGGCGGTTTCTGTCCTCTCCCGAGCTGTGCTGGGCAGTTTGGATGGTCCCCTCTTGTCCGCTAGGCTTTTGGGGAGGGATGGCGGAGTTTTAGGGGGGTCAAGATGCCGCTGACGGGCCCCCTCAAGCCAGTGGGATAAAGTTCTTTTGAAGTCATTATAAAAGTAAAATGAAAAGACAAGTTTGTGCTGCTTCTCGATAGCCAAAGGGAGGTGCGACCAGTGATGGAGGAAGGGTGAGGGGAGGGGGGAAGAAGGGAGGGAAGGAGGGAGAGAGAGAGAGAGAAAGAGGGAGGGAGGGAGGGAGAGAGAGAGAGAGAGAGAGAGAGAGAGGCTGTAAGTGTAGGTGTAGAAATTCTAGGGCAGGCTTATGGACTTTAGAAAAAAAGAAAAGTTGCTCTGAGCCGATGGAAACTTTCGAAGCTGCTGCTGAGTAAGCCGGGGGCTGCGTGATCTCACTCTTCTCATAATTACTAGGTTAACGGTGTGGCTCCTGTCGAGATGGAATGGGATTTGTTTACTGGGCCGGCGTATTTTTAGCCTGTCGGCTCACAAGGACCAGCCCTTAGAGTCTGTCTCTCCTCCCTGGTGATAGAGTGTCTATCTAACGTAGGTATCTTTTTCTGAGCGCAAGGCACATGTAAAAATGGGGAAATTGAAAGAAGTGGACGGATGAAATTTGATCTAAGAGGTTATCCCCTACCAAACACACACACACACACACTTCTAAGGGAATTTTCATGACTTGCAAAGCTAACTCGACTTTGGCATTTTCTTTCCTTATCTTTTGTGAGTACTACAGAAGATGTTTTATTTAGGAAACTAGAAGCTGGTAATTTGTCCATCTTTGGCTTTTCCTACTATATACTTAGGAGGTCTTTCAGAAGGCAGGATCCCTTTGTCTCAAAACCTGTTTCAGAGGTGGAAAAGCAAAATAAGAAGTAGTAGTGGTGAGATGAATCCAAAAGAATAACTTATTTTAATTTTAGAAAATATGTTTCTTAATAAATGAGATTGTGTTCCTGAAGGGATGGAGAGCCAGACTTGTAGTTAAATGCTGGCCGTGCATAGCCGACAAATGAACACGCTCTAGGTAAACAATGAGGAATTAATTATGTTCTTTGCCCTCATTGTTTTCAGGCAGGTCTTTTCCGCTTACTAACCTGCTGTACTAGTCTATTGATATTTTGAAGACTGAGCAGAACTGCAAGATAAAAGAAATTGGCTGTTCCTCATGTGCAGAGCTGAATAGCAGTCTGTTCTAACTTCACTAGTGAGCTGGCATCTTCAGAACGCCTTCCTAACAGGCCAGTTTCTGTGTACTTAGAGACTGAACATGAACACAAATATTAGCTCATGCTACGAATAATTGAGAAGGCAAATATGCTGAAAAACATATATTCCAAAACCAAAATAGATTCTTTTTCGATTTTTCCCTCTCACTTTGGATTATCAGCACCTTTTGGCCAGTCATTATCCATTACCGTGAATAATTTAGAATTGAATAGATGTCTGCTTTGGACATTACACATTCAAATAGGAGGTAAAGATGGAAGTTTGTTTCCAAACTACTACTGATTTGTTTGTTTATTTTTGGTGGTCTGATTTGTCTTATTCCTTTCCTTTAGTACCAGGGACGATATCTGTGGAGGAGAAAAGAGTAAAACTTTGCCAAAGAAAACAGGCCTGTGCGCTGTATAAGGCAGGGTGGCAGCAGTGGGTTCTGGTGTGCTGTAGAAAGACAGACGACCAGCATGCACCGTGTTAGGTGCTCTGTGGTGGAGTTATATCACTAGTCTGAAAACTTCCTTGGCATAATCATTGCTTTATCTTTCTTTTCCTCTCCTACCCATTAGTGGAAAAATATCTCAATTGGAGTCTAAAATTGGATTAATAATCACATATATTCACTTGGAGTCTTGACTGTTAATAGATGTTTTAATCCTTGTGAATTGACTGGTGCCAATAGTAGTTATGACATATGGGTGATTTCTGTTTATAGCTGACTTCCTTTTGTTGAACTGTGTATATTATTCCACAGGGTGGGGAGTGAAGAGTTTGTAGAAACCTAGAAATAAGTGTAAAGCAAGCAGCCCAATAGATCCTCCACTATTCTTAGTTCTCAGAAGGCATTTTTAGAAATTTGAGGTACAGTGTGAGGTACATTGTGTAGCAGCCAAGTGAGCTATGATGGGACAATTTAGTATCACAAATGAATGTTCACATTGTTATGGGAGCATTGTATTGCTTGTGTTTCTGGACTCCCAGATGCCTCGAGTATTCTAACAGTACTGACTGAGACTATTAGAGAGAGAGAGAGAGAGAGAGAGAGAGAGAGAAAGTGTATGTCTGTGTCCGTGTCCTCCTTAGCACAAACACTTATCCCACCCAAGGGAAAAATCAGTCCTTGGGAATGTGATCTCAGTGATGTTTCCTATGTGGAATGGTGACTGGAATCTTAGTAGTGTCTGATAGATTCAGACAATTAAAATTCTGTGCAGGGCAGTTTTATCATGAACTGCTCAATTCACTTGGCTTTTTAAGATAATAGAAGAGAGGACTTAAACATTCCTTGCTGAATAATATTTGAGCACCCCTATGGATGAAGCAACCTGCAAACTCCAGTGGCAGCCTTTGGGGAGATAGATGTGAAACAGGTGACTTTTCCCTCGGAGTGGGAGGTGAGGGGTCAGGAGGTAATATATGGAACACAGAGCAGGGCGAAGGAGGATGGTGACATACATGGGAAGAGGCTTTAGTGTTTAAACACTTTAAAATGTCAGAAACTGTCTAAACAGTTATACTGGCATGTGGATGGGCTGGAGAAAACTTGAAGTAAGAAGGAATTAGTGAGATTAGACAGAGCTTTCTGAATCAGTATGTTGTGAAATGGACTTGGGAGATTATGGATTAGTCATATAAAACTATGGACTCTGGTTCTTCTTTATGACATGACCTTGCCCAGATCATTACCTATATAAGTGTGCACATTAAAGTCAATAAAAATCTTTTCTGTGTTAGGAATAAAAGACAAAGATTTTCTGAGGGGCTGGGGGCTGTTGTCAGCCCTGCATAGATCGGTTGTGGTGGTGCATCTATGTGATCCCTGTACTTGGGAGGTTGAGGCAGGAGGATCAGAGGTTTCTGGGCACCCTTCCTTAGATGTGTAGTCAATTCAGACCCAGCCTGGGACACATGAAACCCAGTATCAAAAACCCAACAAAATCATTTTCCAAATAAAATATAGCATATACAGTGTGCAGCGATGGTCTGTATGAATGACTAAGTTATGTGTGAGAGTGACTGGGTAGAGTGTGGGCTGGTCAAGTCATGGGGAGTAAGAGGGTGGAAGGGACTGAGAGGCCAAACTGTTGGATGTGGATAGAAGGGTCAATAGAGTCATTGTAGGTCCTTGAACAAAGGATGGATTTAATGAGAAATATTGAGCCCTTTGGTCCAGGAACTCAGGGACAAGGAGTCAGGCAGGCGCCGGTACATTGTGACTCTTCTGCTTCTTTTCTGTACCATTCTGGCCCAAAGATATATAGCCAGTAGATGAACGATTCCATATAGAAGTTTTTGTATTTGTGTACCTTGCTGTCTGAGCTCTGCTTGTCCCTGTCCCATAATGCACCAGCCTGTGGAGAAATCGCAGGACTATGGCGGGGTTCTGCTCCAAAGCTTGTGGTAAGGATGACATCATATTTCCAGGGCATTTAGCTCTGCTAATGTTGAGCGTACTGGCATAAGAATGCAACGCTTTTTGAACAAATTTATTATTTTAAAAATGCATTATTTTGCTTGGTGGTGGTGGCACATGCCTTTAATTCCAGCGCTTGGAAGACAGAGGCAGGTGAATTTCTGTTTCAGGCCAGCCTGGTCTACAGAGCTAGTTCTAGGACAGCCTCGACTATCGAAGAAACCCTGCCTCGTAACCCCCACCCTGCCAAAAAAAAATTATTTTTAAAGCCAGACTTACTCTTTTGGGGGTTATACTGATGTTGAATTTACATTTCTAAACCTATATTATCTGATAGCAAGGAAAAGTCTGTAGGAATTTTACAATTGTAGAAGTACAATTGTACAGTTTGTACAATTTTGGCTTAAATATTTGGTTTTAGAAATCCACAAAATTGAAAGTCCATTTATAGGTAATTAAAACTAGACTATACTAAGTATCTTAATGTAGGCTAATTTAAAAAACTGAAGGTGAATGTGGCCTCTCAGGCTTTCTCCCTCATGCATAAGAACAGTTGGTCGATGATGTCTGTGTTCCAGCTAGACTGGATCTTCTTTCATCCTGTCTGGAGAACCCACTGCATTGTTAAAGACTAAGGTAGCTTTCTTGAAGGTCTTGGGCACTGAAAAACCTTCTCCAGCTATCTTAAAGGAAAATTCTCCGGTAATATGGCTAATTTAAAAAAGGGTGTGTATGAAAGAAAGGTCTCCATGTAACAGAAGCACACAGCTGTTCTTTAGTGGACTTGCCACTTGCCTTCATTCCTGCCAGCCGCCACCTTCTTGTAGTTATTACAAAACTATGCGTTTGTGATGTCATGAGCACAGGGTATTGCTGACCTCCAGTCAGGTAGTTGTACTTCTGAGTTGGAAACCAGAGGCAGCAAAGACAAGAATTTTATCATCTCTAGCTAGGTTGGGATTAAGTTCAACTGTGTTGTTTAGTGATATCTTATTCCTTTATTTCTTCTGAGAAATAGTTTGAAGTGAAAGGAGTTGGTTAAACTTGTTTTTATTCAGTTCTGTGCTAAG